AAAAATAGCATGCCCATTATTTGAGCTACTACAAAAAGGAGCGGTGTTCGATTTCACCGAGGCGTGCAAGAAAGCATTTGACACACTTAAGGAGTCTTTGTCATCGCCGTCAATCGTGCGCCCCCCTAATTGGGAGCTACCATTTGAGGTAATGTGCGATGCAAGCGATGTTGCGGTTGGAGCGGTGTTAGGACAACGGGAAGGAAAAAGTCCCTACGCCATTTACTACGCCTCAAAAGCCTTGAATGGAGCTCAATTGAACTACACTGTTACCGAAAAGGAGTTATTAGCAGTAGTTTTTGCATTAGAAAAATTTCGTTCTTACTTGTTGGGTACTAAAGTAGTAATTTTTTCTGATCATGCAGCATTATGATATTTAGTGGCGAAAAAGGAAGCGAAACCAAGACTTATCAGATGGCTATTGCTTTTACAGGAATTTGATTTGGAGATTCGGGACAAAAAGGGGTCGGAGAACCTTGTCGCCGATCATTTGAGTCGTCTCCCTTGTGCCAACAATGACGATTTACCACTAAAGGAGACAGCCCCGGACGAACAATTGCTCCTTCAAGTTTATTATTGTATTCCATGGTATGCTGATTTAGTTAATTATATAGTAACTAAAGCGTTTCCTGCAGGTTGGCCAAAAGCTAAGAGGGACAAACTCAAAAGCGACGCAAAGTACTACATCTGGGATGACCCTTACTTGTGGAAGTGTTGCTCGGATCAAATTTTGCGAAGATGCGTGCAAGAAGGTGAGCACCAATCCATTCTTCGATTTTGTCATACCCTTAATTGTGGGGACACTTTGGTTCCCAACGAACGGCAAAGAAAGTTTTGGATAGCGGGTTCTATTGGCCAACATTGTTCAAGGATGCCTACACCTTTTGCAAGTCATGCGACAATTGCCAACGTGTAGGTAATCTTTCCTCTCGAGCCGAGATGCCTCAGGTACCAATGTTATTTGTTGAAATTTTTGATGTATGGGGTATCGACTTTATGGGCCCATTTCCCATGTCCCATGGATTTTCATATATCATTATCGCCGTTGATTATGCTTCGAAATGGGTGGAAGCAAAAGCCACCCGGACTAACGATTCTAAAGTGGTTGCAGATTTTATTAAGTCCACTATATTCACTCGTTTTGGAATGCCTAGGGCTATGGTGAGCGATAGGGGAACCCATTTTTGCAAAAAAACCATCGCCGCTCTCTTCAAGAAGTATGGCGTGTTGCATAAAGTTTCGACCTCATACCATCCTCAAACAAATGGTCAAGCGGAGGTGTCGAATCGAGAAATCAAATCTATTCTTGAAAAGACTGTTCGACCGGATAGGAAGGACTGGAGTCTCCGCCTCCTAGATGCACTATGGGCTTACCGCACCGCTTACAAGACGCCTATCGGAATGTCGCCATATAGGTTAGTATTCGGTAAGCCGTGTCATTTTCCTGTTGAATTTGAGCACCGTGCTTTCTGGGCAGTAAAAAAATGCAACATGATTATTGACGAAGCGGGAACACATAGAAAGTTACAGTTGCAGGAATTGGAGGAGATTCGGAATGAGGCATATGAGAGTGCCTTAACGTACAAAGCAAAAACGAAAGCCTTTCATGACCAACGAATATTAAGGAAAAATTTTGATGTCGGTCAGAAAGTGCTCCTTTATAATTCTAAGCTCAAGCTTTTTCCCGGTAAGTTACGTTCCAGATGGATTGGTCCTTTTGTTATTACTAATGTTTTGCCTTATGGTGCAGTTGAAATTCAAAGCTCAAAGACTGAAAAGAAATTTGTGGTGAATGGCCATCGATTGAAACCTATCTAGAGGGCGTTGAAGCTGAGGACATGGTTTGGATGGCCATTGAGGATCCCTTAATTTAATTTCGCAATTAATAATAATGTCTAGCCGAAGACGTTAAAGAAAAGCGCTTTTGGGAGGCAACCCAATCTTATTTTATTTCCTGTTTTCTCTTGCATTTTATTATTATTATTTTTGTTTGGTGTGATTATTTGCTTGTCTTTGCTTTCCGTAGGTGATGATGATTCTTCCAATGCCCAGGGCCTTGATTCGAGCATTTATTTGGCATTCAAGAAGGTGATGCGAATTTCGGCATGCTCATGCCGGACGCAAGCATGCCTAAGCTTCAAGGAAGTCTACTATTTCTTAAACTTTTTACTTTCCGCGATGCGCTACATTGAGGACAATGTGCATAATAGGTGTGGGGGGTGAATATCATAAATATCCATTGTTTGCCCGATTGCATGATTGACTTGTGTGCTAAAGACTTGTGTATTTCTTTTCAACATAACATGTTTTAATTAGATGACTTGCCGATGAAGTAAACAATAAATATGCCGAGCACGACATGCTTTACCCTATGCGAGATTTGAGCCTAATAAAGCATTCATTTTAAATGCTATATATTTTTTTTTGTGTGTGATTGTTGCTCTAAACTTGGTTTTCTAGAACTTGCGTAGCGATGCATGTCGAATTTTATTTCTGAGAAGTCTATGCGATTAATGTGATAAGGGCATTAGAATAAACTATTTAGCCTTATATATCTCCTACCTAAAAAATTAATCAATTAGTGAGCCTCGTTGAGCTTGAATATCCTATTTTTATTGTTTAAAGAGTTGTATTTTAACCTATAACATTTCTTTCTAAAGCCAAAATTTATTTGAACCTATAGTTAAAGGAAAATGTTTCGAGCTCATATTATTTTAAAGTCTCCAAGGGAATGAGAAGTTATGTCTATTTATTGTTGTTTATTGCTTATGAGAGAAGAAAGTTTGAAAAAAAAAATTAAAAAAATGAAGGAATAAAGCTAACTTGTCGGTTGAGTTGGGTGTACTACGGGTTATCTTGGTGCACATTCTTCTTACTTAAATTGCAAAAATAAAGTTTTGAGTATACATGCTAATGAAGGAATAAATGAGGAATGAGAAGTTTTACACGGAGTCTATATATTACAAAATGAGCTTGGAATATTTTTTCTTTTTGACTTATTTAGCCAAATAATACCCTATATCCTACCCCAACCTAAAGCCCCGTTACAACCTTATTTAAAGACCCTTTGATTATTTGCATTAGAATTCGAAGAATAAAGAGATGTGATCAATATGCAAGCCTATGGGATAATCATTTTTACGATGCGACACGAGTGACTTGTTAACCCATATATATTTGAGTGTTGAGTGTATACACTTTATTCCTAGTGAGGTTATGTTGCGCTTGGTATGTTTTGAGTTTCACTGAGGTAATGATAATATGAATTTGTTTGTGGAGATTATGATTGCATCAAGTTCTTTCGTGTGCTTATTTGGTTTATGCTTGAGGGCAAGCATGGTTTGGGTGAGGGGGAATTGATAAAAATATATTATTATATATTTTCTAGAAATAAATTATAAGATTTAATTAATGTTTTGGATAGATTCATACTCACTTTTGGCATGTATTGATTTGTGCGAGGTAATTGAGCGATTCACGTCCATGCCATATTTTCGATCAAAGAATTTTGGAAAGACTTGAATTAAGCTCCAATGGTAAGGAAAGAGGTGGATTACGGAATTAAAGCTTGATTATTGGCGTCGTGATTAATAAGGAGCAATTAAGGGAGTGATTGAGGACCCGGTCATCTATAAAAGGGGAGCCAAGACATTGGATGTGGTATCACAGTTCATACTCACTTTTCATAGTCTAAGTGGAGGATTGATAAGGCCGTTTAAAGAGGAAGCACTTTTGGATGATCATCAAGTTTATTGTTTTATTTATTTATTTATAAGTATGAGTAGTTAAATTCCTAGTCTAGTCCAAGGTTGAATGTAGATTTTGGATTGAGATTTGTGAGATTGTGTTATGAGTTAATTTGAATCTTGTTTAAGTAAATTGATATTTGTGTGATTTCTGTGATTCATGTCTGCAATTGTTTTATTTAATCTTTTATCGTGGCCGAATCTTAGATTGGTTTAACAATTGTATGCCAATTGAACATTTACATCCGTAATTGTGTATGTGTTTCATAAAGTGGTAAATAGGTTAACAAGCTTAGCCTAGGAATCGCATGATCAAATAATTTAATCTTTTCGTAATTGATTAAATATTTGAATTGGGTTTTTCTCATACTATTTTCAATTGGAGAAATTAATTTATGGTCGTACCTAGATTATTTCTTTGATTAGGGGTGCGGTTAATCGGTCGTACCATTGCTGTCAATAAAGTAAGGAAAAATTGAGTGTTATGATCGTATTTAATGCCTATGACCAATTTATCAGTTGAATAACAAGATTATTTAAAATCAATGATCGAATCTTTAATCCGGTTTCTTATTCACTCCTTGGGCTAGAAGTTAATCTCTTTGAAATCAAAATTTTATTTTCCATCGTTTATTTTAATTATTTTAGTGAATTGCTAATCCATCCCCCAATATTTAAAATTGTGACAAAACAAAAATTGAACTTCACAGTCCCTGTGGATCGACCTTGGCATCACTTGCTACATGTAGTGTTAGAGTAATTTTATTGGAAGCATCGAGGCTACCACGTGTCCAATTCAGCCCCATATTTGCCAATCTAAGTTCCCAACATCGAATTCATTCACGCAACTATTAGTTAATTAGACATTGAGAAGCTCCAACACACTTTAAACTGCATACATACCTCTCTCTATATATATATATATATATATTTGTTACAATCAATATATTCAATATAATCAAACGACTAAACACAAAAATACTATCAGATATCTTAATATAATATAAATATAACATGTTAACAGACAATAAATAGCAATAACTCACATAGCATATGTCACCATTAATATCTACGCATATTGGATGCTAACATTAACACATCACATAATATTGATATACACGACAACATATATTGTGTATATCATTAAAATTTACTGACAATGGCTAATCAATTGAATAGTTATTTAATGTGATATAAATAAATATTGATGTAATATTTTGAATGTAAAATAAATTTATAATATAATATAAAAAAGAAAAATAAATGTTTGATTTTATATTTTTTGAGAAAAAAAGAATCTGAATAGCAAAAAGCTATACTAAAATCCACAAAAGAATACAACCTTACATACATCCCCATAAAAAGTGAATAGAACTTCAAGAAAAAGAAGAAGAATGTTGAAGCACATAAGAATATGGAAACAAATTATCACAAACTGCTAAAAGCATTCTTGAACTCGCTTCTTTGATGAAGCAACGAGACAAAATGTTGCCACAAAATGAATGATAATGTCCTCTACTTCACTTAGATTACGACTTACTAGCAATCTCCGACCTCCTCTTTAGTTGGCACCACATTCCATTCTTGGTGTGAATGGTTGCTCCGGTAACTAGTTCTACTGATTCCGGGGGGCCTTTCAAGTTGACATCAAACTTTTGTAACAGCATTGCCAATGCTACAGTCGATTCCATAAGGGCGAATTGATCGCCAACGCATTTTCTTGGCCCCCCGCCAAAAGGCAAGAAAGCATGATCCGACATAATCTAGGTACATTTAACAATAAATTTTGCATTATATAAGTATCAAATGGTAATGGTCTTGAAGAAGATTCCTAAATACTTGAGCATACTATTCTTCGATGTGCAACACATAAAATATAAACAAGATCAAACCCTCAGCAACCCACATGCCCAAATATTGAATCTCAAAGCAATAAAATAGATTTTTAAGCACAAGTTTTTCTTTTTGATTTTGATCACAAGGGAGCTAAAGGAACTACAACTTCTACAAATTCAGACTCATTTCCTAATATGCCAAAGGAGTTGTTCTTCATAACTGATATAAAATCCACTATCCAATACTCATGTAACTACATGCAATATTTGATTTTTCCTTCTTATTCCCGTGCTTAGATGATAGCATTAAGGGGTAAATTATTTTCTATATTTTGTCGCTTCTACTTCAAATTGATCTAACCGCTAAAACATTAAAAAGAAATGCATGGCATGATTCACTCTGTAAACTATGATTCTCACAGATTTCTTTCTAAACGCTTAACCACAATAACTACTCAACTCTTTGAAAGAAAAGGATTGTAGCAATAATTAATTTTCGTAGCCCCTTACTCGATTACGTACACTCATCAAGCTTTTGCAGAGGAACATTTAATGGATCGTGTTCACTAAATTCTATCTATGAAAATTTATATATCAACATAAAGCAAGATCGAGTGTAAGATTGATTACCTCATTTGGGTACAGTGACCCGGGGCTACGAGATGGATCAAAGCCCAACCAACCTTCAACATGGCTTTGTTTTTGCACTTGAAATCTCTCAGGTTCAAACTCATTCGGGTTATCCCAAAAATATGGAGATCTATGAAGATTATAAACCTGAGAGAACAATTTCCAAGTTATTCCAATAATATGGGGATTATACTATATCTATATGTAATAGAAGTCTAGAAATGTTTCAACATGGCTCAACGGTGGATTTTTGTTTAAAATTGACTGCAATAAATTAAGAAGAAAAAAAATACATACTGAAATGAATATGTCAGTGCCGTTCACGATTGCATATCCGTCTTTGTCTCCATTATACCCCCCTACATATGAGAACACTCAAAGAAATGCATTAGCATTGGAAGGCAAGCACAGAAATGTTTTTCTTTTCTTTTATTTTTCTTCGTATTTCTTATAATAGTGTATATCTTCTTTGCAAACATTCTAAATATTTACAACATTTATAGCCTTCTACGAAAATTTAGTAAAAATGTGAAGAAATAAACTATAGAGGGGCTGCTTTTGATAATTCATAAGGAATCTAATATAGTATGTAATTCTGTCCACACACACAGTAAATTGGTGTACTTGATCATAAATTATGTGGATTATTTCATTCTTTCTATTCAACTGCAAAGAATCTAGATGCACGGTCTGTGACGTACCAGGTAATTTATCGGGGATGAGAGACCGTCTAATAAGCAATGGGGGTTGTGGGTACAAGCGTAGAGCTTCTGCAACAATAAGTCGCACATACCTAAACAAAAATAGGGGAATGGATCAAAAACAAGTTAAGAGAACTAAACAAAAACTATTAAGTTAAAATGAACATGTCAGAAAATCCATATATGTGCAAGCGAGAACATTCAACCAAAAAGCACTTTCGGATTTACTCCTCCATCACACCTAAATAGTCTCACTTTTCATTTAGGGGTGTCCCATCTAATGAATCCATTTCACTTATAGTCTATATAGTCCCCTTCCAATTACCAATTTGTCCCACTTTTATATATCTTTACCAAAATACAATCACATAGTATACATAAAACTGTTTTTTTTATCTCACATATACTCATTCACTAATATTATGCTATTATTTCTTAATCTATTACAAATTTATTTTGAAACTGCTCAGGTGAGACGGAGGGAGTATTATTTAGCCAGACCAAGAGCTATTCACTTCCTCTTCACTTATAGGTAGGTTTATAATTCGATTGGCTTATTCATTGCAATGTGTCTCCATAAATAGGCACCGTTTCATTAGTTTCAATAGGAGAAATATTATGTTCGTTATTTTAACCTGATAAAATAAGAATCACATACGTAAAATGGCTTAGTGATATTTGAAGAGATCCCTACATGTCCTGATGCAGTGTTTAGATTATAATAAAGATTTGACATTAAATTGCTCCACATATTTCACCTCAAACTACGGATTCTCTTTCACGTGACAAGGATGATTACATGGGATGCTCATAATCCTATCATCATGCAATGCTTCAAACAGAATAGAAGTTGTTCTGAAAGCTTATTTTTTGTATAGTATGAAAAGATCCAACCATTCACTTTCTTACCGAGATGACTAAAATATCGTAAATATTTTCATGCTCGTTTGACTCTTCGTAAAACCACCACAGCCCATAAGTAAATAGAAACAAAATTTTGATAAATTGCTTAACTCTCATAGCCCTGTTGAATTGAAAAGAGCTACTGGCTGCAATATCATAAAGTTTTAATGAGCTAAGAAGAATACTCTAATTTTTTTATTGCTTCAAAGGTCACAGTCTCTCCTCTAAGCACAGAGTCAATCTCTGCTTGTGCTTTCTTCATTTTTTCTGGTTTCTGCATCACATATACAAAAAATTTTCATTGCAACTTACAAAAGGTAAATCAACTCAACACCAGTCAATATCTAGTCTTAATAATAATAATAATAATAATAATCCCTCCTGCCCAGATATTTTGTCCTCATTGTTGGTGATACGGAAATTTAAGTAAAGTATAATTAGTGAGAAATTAAAAAGTGTATTAGTTAAAATAATTATAGATTAAGATTAAAATAACTAAATAGTTTAATTAAGATTAAGAAAATTATAAATTATGAAATTTAAAATGCAATTAAAGTGTATAATCATATTGTCAAAAAAGGAAATGTCAAATTATGTGGGACGGACGAAAATGGCAAGTAGGGACAAATTATATGGGATGGAGGGAGTAATAAAATAAACAAATTGTTGATGAAGGGTGGAATATTATACTTGTACAAGAAGAAAAGTGGCCCATGTCAAGACAGCTGCTGTTGTTTCATGTCCGGCTATAAGCATAGTCATCAGGTCATCTCTCAACTGCTCAATGTGTAATTACCAGAAGAAAATAATTTAGAAAAAATGCATATACATATATCATAGTGAATAATAAAGTTGCAGCATCCATAAATAGATCATAATTGATCCAGGATTGTTTACCTGAACATCATCAGCATCTACACCTCTCATATCTACTAAAAATCGCAACAGACTAGCATCCTGCAAACCTTTCAGTTACAGTGACTATATTCATATTTCGAGCCTCCAAGAGCTGCAATATGTATTCTAATGTTCTGAAGAATTGATGACACTAGGAAATCCTTTTGGAGTTAGGTGTAGCATACCTTGATGTTTGAATAGTCCCTTTGCTGCAATTTCTCTACATCGGCTTCCTGGTATTCGCACAACAACAATATAATAATAATTTCAAAAGGATATCCGTGCTCGAATAGACATAGGTACTTTCAGCATAAATATAGGCCTATTCAATTTCAGGAGCCTTTACTCGTATGTTCAATGAAGTCAATATAATTTTTTAGAACTACTTTATATAAGGAATTTAATATGTTAATCTTACTATCTACTGATATGTTTACTAATATGTTGTAAATATCACAAATGATCTATTTGGGAGTGATGATGAGGATAAAGTCTGCATAATTTCTAACCTCTCTTGTCTCCTTTGCGTTTCTTATTAAACCATCGAGACAATCGTTGATGACTCTAAGGTCGCTATGGAACTTGCGCTGGCGAGGAACCAGCCATTTTGCCAAAGGGATCTTCCAATAAGGAATGTAGAATGTGGAACGATGCTCAGCTTCAAAAAGAGTACCATATACAGCCTACAAGTCCCATGTACATATCAGTTGTCCAGTAACACATAAAAGAAAATTGCTGCAAGAAAATGATACTCAATGATCGTTTGATAACAAGCTGCTTCATTTTACTATATATCGCTGTTATCCAGACAAGCTGACAAATCATGCATGCATACATGCAATAGAATACAAATGAAGTGAAAAGTCTATAACCATACCTTAATAACTGGGGATTCTTTTGTAACTGAGCCAAAGTCATAATTGAAGACACCAAGTCCAATAATGTCTAGAGCCAAACTAGAAAATTCAGCTTCAAGATCCAACTCTATTTTGTCTACTCCTTTCAAAGCTTTGAGTTCCAAAAGCCTTTCAAACTTCGTAGTCATTCTAGAAGAAGAGCTGGTGAATACTTTGGTCATGGCTTCCAAGTAAAGTGAGTGGAATCCAGGAGCAATAACTGCATTTATACCGTATCATAAATAGTGAGACAGCTAACAGTTTAGATGTCCACTTTTTTTTCTCAATTACAGAATCACATCCACTTTGAGCATATTGGAACACATAAGTATTTAAAACTGTTTTAGCTCAATATCCATCTCAAAATTAGAGCTCCCCAAAATCAAACTGAAGGACCATATCTCTTAACTTTATCGACATTTTCATGAATGAAAGATGTTCCTATGGTTCGTTTAAGTAAGAATAGTTGATGCAACTATAAGAACACCAGGACTGATGTTTGCAACTATTTGTATGATCAGTTAAGTACCTGAATGAATCGAGCAAATTCTGACCACAGAATGTAAAGCTCCCAAGAATTTTGCATTAGAGTTCACAGGCAATGTTAAAGTGCATTTGAAAGGGGGAATGCTCACCTCTTCGCCTTTGCTTCCAAGTGTCAATGTCAGCAGGAATGAGTCCTTTTCCCATTATTGGTTCCAATATATCAGCAAGAACTCCCTAGATAATGGATTAGAGATCACATTGATAACAAAATTTCAAATCTCAATGAAGAGCAAAAAGCAAAGGCTTAGAATCTCAAACAAGAATAGTCATATAAGAAAACAAAAACATACCCAATAGGATCAGTCAAGAAAACTGCATATTGATAAGTTGTTGTATCTCAGTGAGAAACTATTTTCCATTCTCTAGAGATTCCAACAAATTTTCCTATCATTTACCAAGGCCGGAGTTCAGAGATCCTATGCATTTTGTATGTACAAATTCAAATTTAAGATCAAGTCAGTTTGCTTAGTGTTCCTGAGATAAGATAACACTTCTATGTTATGCACAGGCATGAGACATGTATAGATATAGTATTTAAAATTCAGATATTCTTTACACAATTCATGGTCCACTCTTGTACATCATTGTGGTTAGAAGAATACAACACACGGTACCTACCATGCATTTATGATTAGTAGAAAATAGTGTGAGATTAACTGGAAAATAAATCAGAGACTATACCTTGTCATAGGCAAATGGATTTTCTCGAAGAATATGTCTAGCAACAATGGGATCTGAAACAACAACAAAGGCTTTTGGCCCAAAAGCCAGCTTGTATACTGAACCATGCTGCAAAGTCCATGCAAAATAAAATGACAATTAGACTAACAAAGGAAACAATTGATGAACAAGAAGTTAAGATATAAGGCTAAGTACTCCTGAAAATTAGATTGGTGGCAGAGCAATATCAATCTGAAGCCAAAACATTATAGAACCAATTCCAAAATGAGCGTTTCACAAAATGATCATGCTGAAGGTTTACAATTCTTCTTGAACAAAAGAAAATGACATGATAATTAAAAAGGATATATTTACATTAGTGAACCAAAGTAATTCAATATGTTGAATTCTTTATTTTTTCAGCATTGGTGACCAACACGACCAAAGCATAAGAAGAAATGAAGCATAAGGAAGTACCTCTAAGAACCAATCATAGAGGGAGAAGAAAAGCGGCTTGCCAAAGAGATCAGAAACTGCACCTTCTGCTGTAGGCATGGATGCTCCAATCTTACTTCCACTCAAGAAATTTGTAAGGAGGTTACTAGCATTGTCCAATAAGTTCTTTTTTTTGGCGACTTTTATCTCATCGGTGCTTGTAGATGATTGGCACCTACATGGACTACAAAAGTATCACCTCTTCCAATTATCCAACCAACATTAACTTTCTAATTTATTATTCTTCCAACAAATATCCTTTCAGTGCCTAAATGAGTGTTTATGAAACCACTGACAGCCAATCATAACTATGTTATACCAAGGATGATCAAAATAAAACTTGCAACTCAAAGAAAATGTCAAGTAATAAATATACCACAAGTTCATGAAAAGTTTGTTGAAGAAAGAGTAATTCGAAAAATCTCTTTCCAACCCACATTGTCAAAAGATTGAAACATCATCTTCTTTGGGGCATCTTACACTAGGATTAGATTTATTGTGGGCCTACAATATGGGTTCTTGCCAGTACTGCTGACTGACCATCATTTCCTCCCTCACACCCTATCAAAATAATAAAAGAAATTCTAGTGTATGCCTCGGGGAAGTATAGCTTTGCCATAGTTGACTCTCGTTGGATTATACGCCTATAAATTACCCCTTTTCACTTCACATCATAGGAGAAAACGAGCTTCTTAACTAGCTGCTGGTTTTAGTTGAAAATTTTCCAAAACTTAATCCAATTATATGTTGGTAAGGATTGAGGAGATTTTTTGGAATCATAAAACAACTATTCTTCACCTCGGAAATCAAGCATCTAACTTACCTTCTCTCTTTGTTTTCATCCTGCACAGTTTAACTTGGTATATTTGCACTTCAGACTATGCCCTAGACTACTATAACACTTTTGGAGTCTAAACAAGAGATATAAACTTCCTCAATAACAATATATATATATATATACACAACAAGAATAGGGAACGATGTTTTAGTAGCCATTGGTAAATAAAATAACAAAGGGACAAAAATGAAGGGAGTATAACTTGAAGTTCCAGATACTCACAATCATCACATAATGTCATTATCCTATGAATAAAATTCGTGATTATAAAAAAATTAAAAAGCCTCAATATCGATTGCATTAGCATTTAGCAAGGCTAGGCTTCCTCAAGTCTTAAGGGGAGTCCACAATTATAAATTCCCCCATGTATACCCACTAGTTCCTGTACGAACTTCAAAGTCACCAGTGAGGATTAAACCGAAACACATACCTGATTGAAACAGCCCACGCCTTATAGCCGCCAAGCGAAGTAGCCTGACGAAAATTATACCCGGAGCATGACAAATCACGCGGATAATGAGCCATAACGATCGAAGAACAAGCGCAACAGCTCACCGGAGCCGCCATGGAAATCAAGCTCAAATTTTCACCCCTCTTCCTAAATCAATCGAGTTGGAATTGGAGAAAATTGCGGAGACTCCAAGAGGAAAAACCAGTAATGTATTGAAGGGAAGGAGAATCTACCAAAGGAAGCTCCCAATCCGAGGTTAGAATTTCGTCATCTATCCACTACTGGATGCACACGCGTCGTGCTAACTTGAGTTGAGTCGAGTTGATACTGTACTCCATTGCCACTTCCCACCAGTACCCAGTGGGATATAATTTTTTAGGCCATCATTCTTTTTCCTTCCGGATTAGCTTCTCTCTATTTTCACCGAAGAACTTTAGTATTTAAATTTTACACTCACATTAAATAACCCTCTAAAATCTTCTTTTTCTACCTTATTAAATATTTTATATTTTTTTTTTAAAAAAAAAAGCTATACTTAATAAAAATAAAATAATTATTTAAGTATATATAAACAAAATAAATAAAAATAACAATTTTACACTCACATAATAATTTAAAATTTAAATTTATATTTAATACAAAAAAAAATACATATTCTATGTTCTTCCAGCATTATTATAAAAAGTTAAATATTCAATCTAAAACAATATATTTTATATTTTTATACAATTCTCAATATTATACACAAAAAAATATTTCATCTAAAAACGTTGGATGAACTTTCAAATAAATTAATTAGTTGAATGACCAAACTTTTCTCAAATGTGTTCAACTAAATCCGCTTGAGTTGTTGGTGTTCGGAGTCGCATTATATTATGCAAGTATTGATCCATAGTTCATGTCTCGTATTGTTTAATGACCAACTCGAGTTATTATTCGTCTTCACTTGATCATATTGAGATGTATCGTAATAATGCATGTAAATGGCTCTTTCATCTTCTACAATCATATTATGTAATATGATGAATGTTCTCATTATTTTATCTAGTAAACCGAACTTGTAATACACCAAATGCACGTTTCACATATTTTCGAACCGCTTCTTTATGTTGCAAAAATAATTGTGTTTTATAACTTTGAGGCGGACGAATTGATTGAACAAAAGATTGCCCACGGAGGGTAAATTCCATCAGTAAGATAATATCCCATATTATATTGATGACTATTGATAAAATAATTAACTTATGGAGCTCTGCCATTTAAAATATCGTTAAAAACCGGAGATTGATCAAGAACTTTAATGTCGCTGCATGAACCTATTGTACCAAAAAATGCATGTCAAATCCACAAATTGTACGACGCTACAACTTCCAGTATAACTATAGGTTTTCCATGATCTCTATATTCGAATTGTCTTTTCCAAGCAGTCGGATAATTTTTCCATTCCCGGTGCATACAATCAATACTTCCTAGCATGCTTGGAAAATCACGTGTCTCTGCAACAAATAATAATAGTTGTACATCAGCAAAATTTGGTCGTCGTAGTTATTCCTCACCAAATACAGAACATATCTCTTCAACAATTTGCTTCTGACATGCCGTTGTGGTACTATTCGTCAACAGTGTTAGTAGTTGTGACATATGCCAATACACGTGTTGTTGTTATACATTTTTGTAATTGTGACAATCCATCTCTTCTTATAGTAATCACACCGTTTCTGAAAGAACACTATTTCATTGAAGAGGTGATCTACGATATGAAGAAAGACATGTTTTCTTATTAAGAATTTACGACGAAAATAAGAACTTGGATACACGGGGTTATCAGAAAAATAATCATTGAATAATCGAATATGAACATCTTTACGATTCCTCTCTATGTATGTTCTCCGTCAACGTGCCGTGAGCTTCCCTCATCTTCATTGTTGATGTGCTCAATCTTTTGATATAATCGAGCATATGTTTCTGCCATTTGACACATGTTTTCCGACTCTTCGTCAGATGAATCAGACAGAGATAAAGATAGTGTTGACATTATTTTGAGAGAATATAAGTGTGTTTTAAGATATGAAATGTTTAACTATTATGCATATGAATTGTGTGCATGTGAATTAATTACATATATATAAATAAAAAACTAGCCGTTGAGGAATATAGTCGTTGGTAATATAGCATTGGAGAATATAGCCGTTAGGGAATATAGTCGTTGCAATGTTCATTATAAATACACTACATTCTCACTTAATATCCTCTACACCATCTTTTTATATTCTTCTCTCTTCATTTTTTTTTCTCTGTATTTTCCTCTAAATTTCCCGCGAATGGATCCCAATTCTCAAAATTCTTCAAATTCTCAAGATCCCCAAAATTCTTTTTTATTTCCAAGTTTTATGAACATGTTAGGATATTAACTCATGTTCCCTACATCTAATGTCCCATTTCAACCATTCAATCCTCCATCATATTATCAAATTCCTCCAAACTTTCACGCATTTGGAAGTTCATAATCTCCTCAATTTATGATGCAAGTTATTAAAGCAGTGGACACTGCACAATATTTCATACCCATCAATTTAGAAGATGATGATGATGTACCTGACAATACAATAAATGAAGACGAACTTTTAATCGGTGTATGGCTAAACACAAGTAAGGATGCCATAACCAACACTAACCAACCAAGTATTGCTTTTTGAAAAGAATCACACCGTATCACATGGAGTGCAAACCTAAAAATACAACGAGCAGAGGTGTTACTCAATGTAAAAATCGTTTGAGTAAAATATGTAAGTCCGTGCAAATGTTTTTTGGGTGTTATGAGGAGGCTAATCGAAATATATGCAGTGGACAATAAACCACGGATGTCCTCTATGTAACAAAGAAGATATATTCAAATGACGGTTTGAGCAAAAACTTCATCCATGAAGATGCTTGGCGTATACTCATAAATGAGCCCAAATAGAAGACCAATTACTGCGAATCATTTCATAACAGTGGTGGAAGTTCAAAGCGAACAAAAGCAAGTGAAGACGGTGGTTACTCAGGTTTGTGCCTGGCGATACCATCCTTTGATGTGGATGACCTAACTTCTCCTACTTGTCCCCCTGGTATAAAAGCAAGTAAGAAGAGGGAAAACAAGTGCAAAATGAGGCATTTAATTCAAGTTCTACTGGAAATTATGGAAAAATTTATGAAAAAACAATGAATTTAGCTTAAGTATAGAACATATGGCGAGAGCAAAATCAAAATTTGAAGCAACAATCCGAGAAAATGAAAGCACTTCTAAAAGCTAAAAGGTTGAACAAAACGGCGAGGAAGATTGATTAGGAAACTATACAAATAGAACTTACTTCAAAGAAGATGGAGATGCTAATGATGTTAATGACATAAGGTGATAATCTGACTGAATTTGAAGAAAGATTGAAAAAAAAATTGGCACGCGAATGTTTTTAGTAGATTTACATTCAAATTCATTAGTATTTTTTTTTATGTATTTTTAAGTATTATATGTATTGTATGTAATTTTAATTAAATCGCATGAGTTTGCATTTAAATTTATGAATATTAACGTATTTTAATTAATATTAGTATTGTATATAATTTTAAGTTATGTAAATTTGCTTTTAAATTTATGAATATATTCATTGAATTTTTATTTATTATTTGTATTGTGTGTAATTTTAATTAAGTGATATATGTTAATAAAATTGTATTTCTTTTAAGCAATAATTGAAATTAAATTAATCGATATCAAATTAAATATTTTATAAAAATATTCTTAAAAAAGATTTAAAATACAAATAATAATATATTTAAATTTTTAATTATTACAAATATTATTTTTATAAAAATTTTAAATATTGAATAACTTTTTATGTAATAAAATTTAATACAATCTTTGAATTAATTAAACAAATTATTATAAATAGAATATATATACTTTTAATATTTATTAAATAAATAAAAAAAAAACATATTTGGCCCACACCAACAGAAAAAACACAGGAAGAAACGCATATTTCAATATACAACTCTTGATATCAGACATGTTTTTCCATTTTTCTTTTTTAGTAATGTTGACGTGGGGTGCTTGGTTGGAAGCGACCCCATTGGGAATGGCCTTAGTGACAATATATTTAGCAGATAAGGTCATCGGTACCGTTTGGCTTGTGTACCTCTGTCTCCTCAAATAGATGATCGACACGTATCTTAGATTAGTTTAATTTTTTTTATTTTTTCATTTTTTTTTACTTTTATAATATAAAATAAATTGAAACTCTGCAATTTAATCCATCCTATTTAAAAATCACGCAATTTCAATTCAATCCATCCTCTTCAAAAACCGTGTGCGATCCGATATGCTCGTTGTCTCACAGAATCATCGCCCGATTGATATTCTTCTTGTTGTTGTCCTCATAGTTTGTTTTCTCGCCCAAGTCCATCCCTCTTCAACCCTCGCCAAGTTGCTTCGCCAACCAGCAACGCGAAATCTCCCACCTTGTGTCGGGTCACGGTATCCGGTGTGTAAACTCTTCCTCACTGTTCGGTAAGTTTTTTTTTTTTTTATTCTTAAAAATTGAAATGAGATCTCCCACAAAATATTAACATTGTGATTTTTTATAGTTGCACACGCCACCGATATCTTTCCCGGGAGTTCTTATTTCAAACAATTTATTTACCCTGCTATTATTCAGCCATATTATGATATTTTCGATTAATTTTGTTGATTTAGAGTTTATGGATTTTGATTTTGTATTGTTAATTTTTGAGAATTTTTAATTTCAGTTAGCTTTGATTCATTAAGTGTTTAGGTTTTTTTAATATTGTTAATTTTGAGTTATTTTTAAAATTTATTACTGATCTACATCCTCAATTGGAATTCGTCTTTTCACCTTATTTTATTTTTTAATCTATAATGTAATTAAGTTGTTTAAACCATTTTTTTTTTCTATTTCTTTCTTAGAAAAATAGATGTTTTTGGGTTGTTTGCTTCTTCATACTCACGGCTATTTTTACATTATTTGCTTATGGATTACAAATAATACAAAATTTTAGGTATGATATTGCATTTTCATCTTCATATAAAAATTATTGGAATAGAAGATATTAGAAAGCAAGTTATAGTTGTAATATGTTCCTAAATCTTAAAATTGTTAAGAGTTAGTTTACTTTATTTTGCAATTAGTTTAAAATATATTTTGATTGTTTAAAATATCTATGAAGTTGTGGTTTTTTTCCAAGTCATTTACTTATATTTAATTTTCATTAATATTTTTTTTGCTTCTCGTATTTTTATTTGTAGTGTCTGCAATTCTACTTTATTCTATGGAAGTTAATGCTTCAATGAAGAATAAATCTTCATAGTCTCGTAGATTAGATTTTATGAATATAGAAG